CATACCCAACCCTGAAGTGTGGAACACTAGAGGCTCGAACTCGCGACCTGTTAGTTAAAAGTCCACGCTTCTAAATACTGGGCCACGAGCCCGTTGCCCATTCCGGTCTCCCTTGTCTTTGTCGGTAATGCTATTCTCCCTACATACAGTGCGTGACCGATCTCATGAAATGTTGGCCAAAATTCTGAAATACTTTTCCGAATAGGAAGAATTACTTAAGTGAGGTTGCTATACTGATTATCTTGCAGCATAACCCTATAACATTTCGGACTCGCCAGGATGTCGGCTTTTAAATGCACCTATTTTTGACCTCCTGCAGTAAATGACTGCTTATGGAGCATGCACTTTTCCTATTGATTTTCGATGGTCTTATAAATTCAAATATTTTTTACAGAAAACATGCATAAAAATATGTTTCTTTTGCTCATTTGGTAGGAGGTCACATTGTCCTCATATTTTATTCCCAAAGAAAGTGTATATTTTGGTTTTAACAAAGTTTTTACTTATGATATTTTTAGGACCGTGCGATGTCCATGCATGCAAGACCGCACATGTCCGTTTACTAATGCTCCTCATGAAATAAACAGCACAATCCGAGTCCATTGCAAAATTTCACTAGCTCCATGTGGTACCTTCTAAAAGGCATAGAGAAATATATTATTTTCCTTCCACGGAAAGTGTGCACCTTGTAGACTGAAATTGCCGAACGCTGATGCAATGGCAGACCAGGTTGAAAATTTTTCGGGAATTGGGAAACTTTTTTAAAACATAAATATGCACTTTCTGTAGGCATAAAATATGAGGATAATGTGATTTCCTACCAAATGAGCAAAAGAAAGCATATTTATGTGAATTCTTTCCATAAAATGTATTTGAATTTATAAGACCATCGAAAATCAATAGGAAAAATGCATGCTCCATATGTAGTCATTTTTTGCCGAGTGTGGTTTTTGAAGGAGGTCAAAAATAAGTGCCTTTAAAAGCCGACATCCTGGCGAGTCCGAACTGTTATCGGGTTATGCTGCATGATAATCAGTATAACAACCCCACTTAAGTAATCCTTCCTATTCAGAAACGCATTGCAGAATTTTGGCCAACATTCCATGAGATCGGTCACGCACTGTATATGTGGATGAGATGGTTCCGACAAGGACAAAGGCGATCCAAATGACCATTACTAACCTATTATCCGTCATCAGCCAGTCATGCCCCACCTCAAGTGTGGATCACTTGGGTTTCGAACTTGGGATTTTTGGTCAAGAAGCTTGACACTTTACCCCTTGAGCCACGGGCCCGTTGTCCTGTCAGTTATGATTGGGAATATCAATTATGACAGATGGGCGCTCACCGATTAAGTTACGGAACGAGTACGTTCCGTGAATCATATGTCTTAACTCCACTTTTCCTACCCGCAGGCGGCACGTCCGTAATGCCTCACCAAAGATGCACAGAACAGATTCACCCTTGAGGATCATAGTATCCGTCATTGGAGCACCCTGCCAAGTGGTTGTACACGCATTTAAAACGCCTGACAATTAGATCATACTACAACATCAGCACTTCCTACGCACTCCCTCAGAGGATCTAAGGCCTTACAGTGAGTCCTGACGAATTTTTTCTGTACCTCCGGTAAAGGATTCAATACCACATCCTATGTGCTGCTTGCTCATGCGCCCATAGATTGCATTTGCCTTCGTTGGTAATTATCTCAACATGAGTCGATTATCAAACACGTTACTGCAAATTTTGGAGTGTATGCTGCACCCTGCCCTGAATAAATCAGTGCGAACATTCTTGTGGTGGCATTTTTCTTAGTACAGGTCTCTCTGAGCAGCAGACAGCACTAGACCGCCGTCTAGTGGTCCAAAGACGAAGAGTCGTCGTTTACTTCTTCTTCTCCCCTAATAACAGGTAATCTGCTGTCCTTCGCGTTGTTCGTATGTAACCCACCTAGCAGGACATAGGACAAGGCGGCGCGTCAATGAAAAATGCGTCAAGGCGGCTGAGAGTTCCTAAAATAGTGGGTGGATGGGGACGGTGATGGACGCCTAGGAGGCTGGAGGTGGAATGAGAGCAATAATTATTGTGTCCTTCGATAACCTGATGTTCGCCAATTCGCCGTTTGCTGTGGTCGTGTGCTCGCACCGATCACTCAAACCCAGCCACAATCCTGTGAAAAGAGTGAGTAGTAACTACTTAAGCTGCTTTACAGCAGCAAATGAGAAACAGCGTAAAACTACTAGTCATGGGCTTGTGGATGATTTGTAAACGACTACAATCGCGCATGCGAATGGAAAACCTTCTGGCCCAGCGTTGGCCGATTAACTGGAGTCCCCTGCACTTCGGGAAAGTAGCGTTTCTCAAATCGAAATGTTCACCACCGATATCAAACTGGTGTGAAGAAACAATCACTTGCTCCAGTGGCGAATATGAGCCAATGA